TTCCTAACATGATAGAGACAAGCTTCAAAATACAACAAACAAGCAAACTAATAACATAAAGAAACCATTAATGGCTGGGGACGGCTTAAATGGGTAATGAAGAAAAACTTTAATATAAGTTTAACATGACAGAAAATTTACACCGTTCCGAAAAGGTTTTGTCATCACCACCTGATGATGAAAAAACCTTGTCGAAACGTTGTACATTTGCTGTCATGTTAAACTTATATTAAAGTTTTTCTTCATTACCCATTTAAGCCGTCTCCAGCCATTATATATATCTATATGCTGAATTTAAACTAATGGATCTAAGTTCAAGTAAACAAGTTAATTCTTAAAACACCAAGAGACGATAAATTAGTTTTATATTGTATTTATTTAATAAAACAATATATTTATCCTGTTTCACGATTTACCAGTAAGTTGAATTATACCTTACTACGTCCTTAGCCTAAAGTACCTGGCCCGGCATGGCCATGTGGTTAGGGTGATCGACTCGCAATCTGCGGGTCGCGAGTTCGAATCCCCGTCAAACCAGACATGCTCGCCCTTTCAGCCGTGGGGACGTTATAATGTATGGTTATTTACTACAAATTATAATACTAATAATAAATAACTTTCAGAAATCTATGATAGCTTTACCTTTCAACGTCCTCCCTCTTCAGTCGCGCCCTCTATTCAATATCGAATATCTGTACATCTTCACACGGGTTAAAAAATGACAGTACGCGGCTGTGCGTTTTGATAGTAATTGATTAAATACTAGAACTTAGAAGTTTTAACCCACTAGTATTTGTCTCAAGCCACGCAGTCGAAACTGTAAATGTAATGGTCAAGAGTGGGGTATTGTATGATTGAATTTGAAATTAGTATAACTATAAGCAGCAGTATAACTATTAACTGTGTAATTTGTAAACCAGATGTCTTGATATCCAGACTGATACTGATACAATCACTGTATTAGTGATACTACTAGTAGTGGGGCTCCAATTGTATAAAAATTAATAAAAAGCTTTAGAAGCCTATACATTAAATTTATTAATTTAAGTTCATTTTGGATCTTATATAAGTATAAGCAGGATTTTTTTCCTACGTAAAAGTTGTAGATATTAAAATGAAATTCAAATTATTTTATCTTTTTCCTACTGGTTGTCTGTTGTTTGGTTGAATGGCAGTATTTCACTTATGACTCATTTAGGTTCTGAGGTCCTACATTAACAATTGGACTTTGACATACGTATTGGTAGGTAAAAGTCAAATTATTAATGTAAATCCTCAAATCCTAGTATACAAGTACTACATAAGATAGAGAATGAAAATTTATTTATAAAGGAAAAGAATATATTTAAATCAAAATTTACTGCATTTCACACTACAGTACTGAACAGGAAGCCCTTAAGTTAGTACTCATTAATTGAACATAAGACAGAGTGTGACTTTTTGGACTATTGGTATGCAGTTATCTTTCATTCAGAGCAGTTTAAACATTGATCTGAAAAACCTTATGTGAAACTTTTGTTCAATGTACATGTAAGTTTGAAATATAATCAGTTTTGAGTTGTTAATTATACTGATGAATATGGTTAATTATGGTAATTTTCCAATATTTAATGTGTACCAGAAGTATAACATACAGCTTATTTACAGAAAACTCTTCAGCTCATTAGGGTCATGTATCCATCCCCTAAAAAAATTATCAAAATTAATAAACTTTCAGTAATACCACTCTCATTAAATATTTGTTTTTAAATAAAAGTATGAAAAACATAGTTTTGACACCTACTGTTTTTATTATGTTAAAGTTTAACATAATGTGGATTCATAATTTTTATAAAGCAAGTCTTTATGAACAGTATGTTAAATTTCTGCATACCTAAAGTATGCTCTTTTTGTATTGGAAAAGTAAAAAAAAACTATTCTTGAATTTAGTTTACATTGTAAGCTTAAAATAACTCCAATTTACTAATTTGACTTCAAGTAATAACATTACTAAAGAGCTAACTGTTACTATTACAATTTCATAGTTTTGAGAAAAGAAACAGCTAATTATTGACACATACAATGTACATTTCGTAATTGGTTATATCACAGTTTTTAGTACCGTACAATAAACAACAACATCCATACAATAATATTATTGCAATATATTCTATCACTGAGTGAGTTTTTTAGATTATTTGGTAAAAATAATGCCAGTCCATGTAACAATAAATTAATTTATTTCTTCAGTAACATTTTACAGAAGTTGTAGGCATAAGTTCAAAACATTGTTTCAATAGGAATTCCAAGACTAATGATACCTATGCCTATCTTACTTAACTTGACAAGTAACTGAATAGCAGAATAGACATGGTAACTCTCACTACTAATACTAATTATTTATCTCACACTGAACTGTCATTGAACACTCATAAACTGCTCATTTATCACTTAGTATTTATATTGTACCTTTGTTTTTACATACTCCATGAAGCTTTTGATTCTCAACATCATGTGCCCTCTAGTAGATACATAAATTAAAACATTAAAAATATAGTTTAAAACAGTATCATTCTAAAAAAGTTCTTTAATATGTATTTACACTGTGAGATTTCACGAGTTATCTGTATTGCTAATGTAGATGAAAATGCACAATATTAGACTACATTGACAAGTACAAGCATATTTATTATACTCTTGACAATTATGATACATTCATAGTTGTACATGCTGACACTGTCATGACTTCACACACTGATGTAAACATATCAAAGACCTAACTGATTTTCATCTTTGTAGGAACAATTGGTCTAGACATAATATTGTGCCAAAACCATGTCCCCATATTACTTACCCTAACACCACAGCCTAATTGTGGTACACTACACTCATGGCACACTAAAAAATGTTTAACTTCAAATTATATAGTTTTTAATACTAAACGTTAGCTTGACGGGATCATGCACTAGCTACCTATTTTCTCTTTATAGTACTATCCATGTTCAATTATCAAGAAAGGTGTGTAAGCTGTCAGTAATACATAGCATAAAATTTAAGGACAACAAAGGATCTCTTGTTCCATCTAGGCTGTCCCATCCACTAAATTAATCTAAATGTTAACAAAGCAACACTCAAAGCCATTCCTTATCATTCATATACATATCAAGCCTTCTCTTAAACTACCTTAAATTGATTGCACCCACCACATCTGAAGGCAATCCATTTGAAAGGCCAACTACCCTGTAAGAAAAAAAAATAAACTGTCTTAGCTGAAGATGGCTCCTATATTTTTCTTCTTAATCCCACCCTTCTCACCACTAAGTTTGAAAAAAGCTGTTGCAATTCCCTTAATAATCTTAAACACCATAATGAGATTCCCTCTATATTGTCTTTTCTTCAAGAGAAAACAATTTCAGATATCTTAACCTTTCATCATATGACAACCTTTCCATCAGAAGTATCATCACAGCAGCTATTTTTTGAAACCTTCCAACAATTCAATGTCCTTTTTAAGGTGAGAAGACCAAAACTGGACACAGTACTTCAAATATGGCCTAATTAGTGACCTATACAATGGAAATATAACCTTGTTAGATTCTTATTCAATACTTCTGTAGAAAAACCTAATATACTATTTGTCCTACCATTAGAAATAGCTTACTGCTTTGATGGCTGAACAGACTAATCAACCAGAACACCAAAGTCCTTTTTGTCCATGACATTGATAAAGTTATTTCCATCAAAATTATACTCATAATAACTCTAAATTTATAAAGATTAAAAGACATTCCTATTTATTCACCCAACTCAAAATAACCTAAATCCTTATTTAAAGCAGCAACATTCTCCTCACAGCCAGCAACACCCAAAACCTCAATATCATCAGCAAGTTTAAGTGATTTATTGATCATTTTGTCGTCTGTGTCATTGATATAACTCAAAAAGAGTAAAGGTCTTAACATTGAATCCTGAGGTATAGCACTTTTGCTCTTAATCCAGTTTGATCGAACTTCATATATAACAACAATTTTCATCCATTCAGCCACTTTTGTATCCAATGAGCAATTGTTTTGTTTTTCCTGGCAGTTATTTAGATTTAAAAATAATTATTTCCGAAGAAATAATTACTAATCTGGGGTGCTCGAAGATTAAACAATCCTCCTTCACCCCGCTCGTGGTCTAGAAATATGGGCTTAACTTGAGAAAATAGGAAATTAATGCAGACGAGGTATATAATTTTAAAAAGGTAAAGAGAGAGTAACTGTAGACAATAAAAAGTGAAGAGCAAAGTAAACTAAACTAAATGGCCGATATCTGACAGATGGTCCATCAGGACAGCGGGGATCTAAAAATCCTATGCCGAGAATTTAATGTGGGGAAACGGGAGTACCCCGAGAAAACCCACTTTCACTTGTAACGACTGATTCATTTCCAGTGCCCGATTAATGAAAAGAAGTAAGTAGGGAAGGCAAAGTGAAGTCTGGTGTTGTGAAACGTGGGCTTGGGGGGTGGGTAAGGAAAGATATGGGGTGGGGTGGGTGAGGCTTGCGATATCTTGACTCCGTACCTTGATATGTGATACCTTGTTAGATGCTTCTGAAAATTCAAATACACCCACATTCATCTAATAAGTAGTAACCTCTTCAAAGTTTCATTATTATAAATAATAACTACAAAAAATATTACTAATTAAACTTTTATAAATGATAATTAAATATATGAATATTAAATACTATAGATAAATGAATAAATATGAAAAACATATATGAATAGTGAATGAATTTGTATTATGTGAATAGGAAGAGTGTAATTTACTGATTTGTTATGTGTAAGCATGGGTGTATGAACTGATTGTTCACAACTTGATTTTGCCAGTGACTATTGTTTTACATTTTCACTTTCAGCAGTTTTTCTGCCCTTTGTCAGGTTATGAAACTCCTTAGATATAAGAAAAATTGTTTATAGTTTATGGTTAGTAACCTTTCTGAAACGTCAAACAGTATGAGTATGATAACTAGACATTAGCTCTAATATTAGGACTAACCCTAACACTAAATAATTGAGCTTCAAACTGAAAAGGCAATACATGAATCAAAACAGAAAAAACAGACCAGCATATTAGAACACAAAAGGAGTACTTAATGGCTGATATTTTGAGAATAAGAACATGACCTTTTGGCATATACTTTATATTTGCCAAAGTTATTGAAACATATTATGATAGCTGTACTGTCAAAAACATTAACCATCAGCCATATATACACGTAGCCTAATGACTATTTAGTAGGCCATAATCTTATCTTCTGAATTCAAGGCCCATTCCTGGTATAACAAACTTGAGTACCTTTTCATGCATCTCAATGTACCCATAGGATATCTTATATTTAAGATATTAATTGAAAGGTGGTTTCCCTCTTTTCATATTCTCTGCATGCTTTTTCTCAGGTGGACAGCTGTCGAAAGAAAAGTAAAAAATAGGTTGGAGCAGATCCAGCCTACACAGGATCCTCCTAGTAATACCGGGTTCAGGATGACACCACTCTGTTCATACTCTTCTCTTTAGTTCCTGTTACAGGAGGTTCTTTCCCTGCTCCTGTGGTTGAGCGATTGTTGCAAGTCCTCTTGGTAATTCCAAGTGCAGGATGTCTCTTCCCTGCATTTACAGTTGAGTGATTTGTGGTTTCTGCTCATAATAACTGGTTATAGATATTGTCCTGTTCATCCAGTTGAGTTGAAGCAATGCCATGACCCTGTAATGCCAGGTTCATTTGGTTGTACTTCTTGCTCATATGGTTCTTTTGGGAGTTTGCCCAGTTTCAGCTAAAAGCTAACTTCATTATTCCAGTTACTTGATGCATTACACCCTGTTTAATTATGGTTTGGGTTGCTTAGTCTATATAACACGGTCCACATGCTCTAGCCACTATGTTTATACTACAATGTGTTAAAATATATCTTTTTTTGATCCCCAACGTCCTAGTGCTGAGGACGAGTTATGAATCTTGTTTGTCCAGGGGAGACTAAATGTACATAGATAATTCTGTCTGTATTTTACTATAGATTGAATCTTTCAGAACGAATTGGAATACCGTGGTCGACGTATGGAACCTTGTCTGTCTGGTTAAGGTTGTGAATGTAAATAATTAATTCTGTTTATATTTTACTATGGTTTGCACCTCTCAGAATGAATTGCATTTGCGTACATCCTCTTTTTCTGCCTGTATCAGATTCATTTCGTATTTCAAGGGTGAAGAGCATACCTGTTCCATAAGTAGTGTGGTACCCCAAAAACTGTGGTCGCTTTCCACTTGGTTTCTATCTTATGCACCTAAACTGGGCCCTCCACCTTTTCAGTGTGGGATTCTAGCTTTATGTGAGAGGAGGTAGGATCGTATTGGAAGTTAACATTTGTTTTACACTAAAAATATATTTCAGATAGGTATTTATATCGCACACTTCCCGCCCTTTCTCCTCACTGCTGATATTCTTTTTTTAGAACCTGCCAAATCTCGAAAGTGAGGATTGATCAGGAATAGCAGAGGGAGCTAGCTGCACCAGTATAGGTGTCACAATGCTATTGGTGGAAAATAGTCACATATGTACATGTTTTGAAATGGTGTGAAATTGATGTGGTATATGAACTGGAGCAGTGATCATGAAAATTTTTTAGCAATAGTTAGAGAGCAGATGAAGATCGAGATAGCTTTGTGAGAGGAGATAAGTACCGATCAGAAATACATTTTCAGTGTTAGAAAAATGTTAACATCAATTTTCTTGGAGTTTAATTTTCACAGATAAAGTCACAAAAGTATTAGTTTTGTAAAAAAAAAAAGGAAAAAAGAGCACATGGTATTATAGCTCACTTTGACAGTTTTTGAGTTTTTTGTAATTTTTCTAATACAGTTAATAGAAAGAAGACTGTGGATGAAGAAGTTCCCATATTTAATTTGCTATTTTCTTTTTAGAAAATTCAATATCAGTTATTAAGGTTCTCTGCATTATGTGCAACTTACTTATATTTCCTGGTTTGAAAAATCAGCTGTGAAACTGGCAAGGCTTTGTGTATTCTGTTCAAGATTAAACAATTTTTGGAATACTAGGTTTATTTATTATACCTGCTGTTGTGCAGCTATATAATATAAATGACTGAATAGTTTCCAATGACACTTTATCTTCACTTTACCTATCCATTGTATAGTTTTTTCATAGTGACTATAAAGCATGTTCACACTAACAATATGTTTGATACTTTTCATTGTGATATAGGTCCAGCTTATCTCTCTTTAGTTAACTTGCATTCAGGATTTCTGATGAGGAGTAGAATTCTCTAATACTAGTATAGCCCAATAATGCTTGTTGATCAAAGTGTAGATTGAACTGGACCTCCCTTGAACTTAGACTTGGATTAAACAATTTTTGGGAATACTAAGTTTATATGTTATACCTGCTATTGTGTGACTATGTAATGTGAAGAACTGAATAGTGGCCAATGACACTTTTTTTCACTTCACCTATCCAGTGTATAGGTTTTTCTCATAGTGATTATAAAGCACATTCACACCAACAATATGTTTTATACAGGACTGTTTCCATTTAAGTATAATGTGAGTATTAAATTTAGTTATTTTTAAAAGCGATAGTTTATTGCAATTTTGTTTTCATAACTGTGTATGAATCATATGTTGTGTAGTTTAACTGTTGTGAATTGGCACCTGTATTATTGCATCATGTTACAAGAAACTTCTAAGTTTTTCTCATTTCAATTGAATATTAGTGCATCATATTATCACCTAATGTGTAGAAGGTTCTAGGCTTCTGTCAGTATATAAATACACGTACAAAATGTTATTCAAGTAAATAAGATGAGTTAGACAAAGATAGTTAGATTGATAGATCTAGACTGGGTTTTTGTGAGTTTATCCATAAAGAGCATATAGTGGCAATTTCTAAAATGGCATTATCACAGATTGTATTGTAATAACAGCAGAGAAGAATAATTTGTCTTGTCAATTGCATTCTAAAGTAACTGAACCAGCCTGAGTGGACTTTGGCAAAAAAAGAGATGATTATTGTGGTGATTAACTATGTGATGAACATTTGTATATATATTTGACTTGTTTTAATATATATTATTTTAAAACAAGTGGACTGTGTGCTGTTTGTTTATTGTTGAAATTTATCACCAACAAATCAAAGAAACCTACTGTAAATAATCCAGCCCACACATATGTAAAAACCTGACAGATGAAATATTGTTAATATGTGCTTTCATTTAGTAATACTGTGTTAATATTACAAATTTTAAGTAAATAGTAAACATTCTGTACTGAAATTAATAATGTTCAACTAAATAAACAATGAAAAATTAGAGCCAATAAGAATTAATATAACATGTATACTGTATCTAAATGTAACTTGTATCACACAGAAGCTATAAGCTTTTTCTTACAAATAATTTTTATTCTTAGGAGTTATAATAATGAGGTAAAATTAATAACCTGTAAGGACTGTTTTAGACTTTTGAGAGTAGAGCTAATAAGGGCAGAAGAAAATTTAGAATGAAAATTTTAAATTTTTTGTTTGTTTTTTTTAACCAGAATGTGAGTTACAGTTCTAAGAGTTAAGCTCACATTATGAAATTATTTCAGTTTTTAATTTTATAGATTTTTAATTGAAAAATTTTGATGGCTCAAAGTTTTAGAGATCTAGAATGAATGAAGTAGGCAGTATACTTTATTTAGAAATTTTAGAATCTTGTGAGAAAAGAAATAAATAATTAATTAAACTAGTAAGAGTGCAACTTGTGGTTTTTGTTGCTATTCATAAACAAAATACATTCAACAATTTACAGTTGTATTCAATGTTCTTTTTATGAGATGGCAAAGTATATAAAGTGTGCTGGTAACTGAGTGTAAGTAGTAGTTAAATTATGGTAGTTTTTCAAATGCAGGAAAAAGATGTTAAAACACTTTAGCTATGACTTCTAAAAGCAACAGGTGTACATATTAAGTGGGTTAGAATGTGGTAATGTTGGAATGTTTTTCATTTCTGCTCTGATTTGAATGTGCGAATTAGCCTCATCAAATGACTATTTTTCCTGATTATTAGGAAATTTATTGCTATTGTAAGAAGTTTATAATCACCTTACAGCAAAGCATGCTATACAATTTTTCGACTTCTCAACAGCTTGTACTATAATTTCGTGTGTTGGTGCTAGACATTAGGTAGTGAATGTGATATTTATGATGTCAGAGCCACAAATTTATTTCGTACCTACAAAAAAACATTCTGTACATTTTCAATATATTTTTCACACTGTTAAACAACAACAATAAAAAGAGGGCACTTTCGGCATGTATTGTGTCATTGGACAGTCAGCATGCTATTCAAAGATAGTGAACAGTTGTTTCAAAACTTTTATTTCATTGAGGACCTTTTTATTATTTTACGTAGTATTGCTAGGAAGAAGGATTTTTAAAGATTTCTTTCCAGTTGAAGTCACTGCTTAGGTAATTGTTAAAACCTTTTTCCTAAGCCCTGTTAAAGCTAAGGTTAATCTGTGCAGTTTTCAGTAGGTAAAGAATATTGTGAATAATTAATGTTAAGAGTAATTTTGTATAAATTTATAACCAAAATAAAATAAAAAAATTTCTTTCAGTCCTACAGTATGGATGTAAAGGAAGAGGAAACCAACCCTTTGTTATTGAACCATAACCATAGTTATGACTCAATGGAAAAAAGTTCAGAAAGTGAGGTTTTAGGGTCTGGTTCAGTTGAAAAAGCATGTTGGATACCTCAGCCACAGCCTGTTCATAGGTATGTGTAACTTAAGTGTTTCAGATTAATTTAGCAGTACTTGTTTTCAGAAACACTACTTACTTCTCTGCACCACTAAAAGCTATTACCTTGAGCTCAACTGCCATGGAATTTCATCCACATGCAACAAGCCTTGAACAAACTCCCATCTCTTCACTTGTCAATGTGCCAGCTTATCATTTAATCATCATAATGCTGTAGCTCTCCCTCAATAGGAGGGCAAACAACTTTAATGTGAGCACTAGCACATAACCATAGGTTCATTCTATCCTCGAGAGTTATTTTTTTCAGGTGTGATTTTTTAGACATACCTTTTTGAATTGCCAGTCAATTTGATTGACTGCCTTTCTCTATTTAATGTTATGTTTCCTTTGACCTCATTGCAATTTCATTCCATCTTCCTGATTACAATATCTCTTTTTATATAACCACTACATTTCTTCTTTCTACTAATATTGGTGTGTTTATATGAACCTATATGAATTTACTATTGGATTGCCTGTTTATCATGGATTCTCAAATCCACATTTGTTCTGTGTCATAAGGCCCAGATGTTCCTCTTTGGGAATCTTCTGCAACCTGTATCAACAGCAACTGGAAGCATATTATCTGTTCATGATGTTATCACTATAGTGCACCAGGTGATTGGCTCACTTATGTCTACTTCTACTTCAATTTGGGTCTTCATTGTTCTGTTTCATTATCTTTTGTGGTTGCTGAGGCATTTCTCCACATTCTCATAGTGAATTCATTTTGCCTTTAGCTATGTTTTGTATACAGGGATCAGGTTCTGCAGTTCAGGGATCTAGTTTTTGTCTAGCATCAGCACCATATGTCTTCTGCTGGGCTGCAAAAGATTTCACCATGCATTATGCCCGATTCAGCCACTTCCCATCCAGCCCCAGGCTATGCAGTGGGCAGTCAGGCTCTTACTTACAGGGAAGGTTTTATCACCAGGGTTCTGGGCTTACCTCAAATCTCTTGAATTTTTGGGAGGAAGACACATGCTATCCCTTCAGTGGTCCCATTGCAACAAATGGATATGGAACATAAATACACTGGATTTTCCAGACTCTTTCCTCAGGAGCAACATCTTAGTTTTTGAGTGGTGGCTGCTTGGGATCACCTCTATCATCAGCATAGGTATGGGTGTATAAATGTATACTGCCCCTTTGTCCATAGTTTCTCTTCACAGATATTTCACTTGGGGGATGCAGTGTGTATCTTCAAGGTCAGGAATTCTAGGGTATATGAATGAAGGACGAATCTTCATCCTACATCAATACTTAGTAGTTTTTGCTGTCCAACAGGCAATAGTGCAAGGCCTAGATTTTTTGCAGGGGAATGTCCTCATGAGATGTTTCATCAGTTCTGGTGGTCTCTTAATTTTGGTTTCTCTACGAGGCCTATTCCAATCATGTCAGTGTCCTGACTTGCCATTTTCTCGAGGTGTTGGATTTCAAAGCAGATTGTCAGTCTTTTCTTTCTCCGGAATGAATAGATTCTCTGTGGTGTGGTTTTCCAATAGCTTGTTCTCATTTTGGGCCTCCTTTGTTAGCTTTTGGCTACTTATTGCTACTCAACTACAAGCTTTGGAGTCTCCACTACTTCATCTTCAGGCTTAGGTGGTAAGTGCAATTGGTCCTGTCTGGATGGGATTGCACATCTGTGACTTTCCCTCACTTCCTCTGTTACTCCGAGTTCTGGCTATATTTCGATCCTCTACTTGCAAGATGTTGTTATCCTAGATGGGCCAGCCTAGCCCTGATTTCATCTTCCGCAGTTTCTTCACATGAATTCACCTCTGCATCCCTCTTTGTTTATCTTTATTGAGGCATCCTCATCCCAACATTCTACACCAAGACTCATCCCAGCTCATTGGGGTTTAACATCTCACAAGGGGTTTGTACCCACTTTACCAAACATGTGTTCACCATATCTTGTTTTGACCTGTTTTTTACTTGGGTTTAGTTTCGTCTCCTGTCAATTAGGTCAGACAACTATTTCATCTCCTTTTAGTTATCCTGAACATCTGATGGTTTTAGACTCCCCAATGCTACCCAGCCTTCTTCCCAAATGGCCTTTTCTTTTACTTAATCGAAATTTGAAGGTGGTACTACATGCATTGTCTTGACAACCTTTTGAGCCTTTATCCGCATGTGCCAAGTATCATCTCTCCCTTAACTTTACTGAAACGGGTATCCTTTATTGCACTTGACACAAGGTTTTAGTGTTTTACATTCAAAATTTTATTAAACTACTTTTTGTTTATGTTATACCAATTAATATAGCATAATATCTTAGCTAATAATCCATATTTTAATAGTATATCAGTTTTAAGTTCTTAAATCTACAAGGCATTATTAAAACAAAATCTTGAATTACCCCTAGTGTGACCCACGTGACACATTTTCTCTTAACATGTCATCTTCCCTATTTTATCCACCACCCCTTGAAAATGTATGAAATTAAACATAAACTACTCTATAAAATCATCATTGCTTAGACAAACCATAATTTTTATAGTCTTCAATTTTGTTTGGTTACAGAGCTATCAAATAAAAAACCAGACCCCTCATGCCACATCTACCTGTCACATCCTCTGTTTTAAAATTTGTTGATAGTTCTCTCATATGTTTCATTATATATTACCTATAACCAATAAAAAGTCAATTTTTTCATTATTCAAAGAACGAATATTGTTCCCCAGGGAAAGTTAACAACTAGCTTGGATGAATTTGTAATGGCTCTTGTCGCATAGTTAGAAAGCCAGGAAAATTTTGAGAGGTAAGTGAATTTGTCTACTTTTTGCATGTTATTAGTCTATATTCTTTGGTGCAATATTTAATTAAATAAAAATTGAGTGCATTAATATCTATAGTATGAAAAATTAGGGTTAACTCTCTTCGAAACCTGACTGCAAGAAAAAAGAAGATTGGTTAAGTATTTTATTTTTTGTTTTTCATGTTTATTCTTTATGTATGATTATATAAGTAACTAAAATCTAAAAATATGGATCTTTTTAAGTTATTTAAGACCATATTAGGTAAAATAAAGAATAATATAATTAAAATAGTTCACAAGGCATGCACGTGAGCTGTACATTTCCCGAGTGATTGATAACTTATAATGCTGTGTATAGTTGTTAGACACAGTTCAAAGGGCAATAAAATTTAATTATAAATAGATGTATACTGTTATGAACTTAGAGCTACTTGGATAAACAAATGTAGTTTCATGTTACAACTTGAAGTCTTTCTAGAAAGTAAAAAAGGATAATTTAGATTTATTTCGTTTTTTTTGGTGGTTACGAGGTCGGTCAAATTAATCAATCCCATTTTGAGAGAGTTAATGGATGTTTTGTGGTTGCTGACATGCTGATGTCATCAGCTGGAGTTGTTGACATGTTTGTAGGACTCTTTATCTCTCCCTTTTGGTCCTTCTAAACCCTGATAGGTCCTTTCTTTCTAAGTTTCTGGCCACCAGGGAAGGAGATACATCCCTCTCCGCGATTCTTTTGCAACTTATTTCTCACCTCTACAAACGATCGTACACTGATCATTTGTTTTGTCCTGTCAGACCCAGAGGTGTTATGTGGCTCACTTTAACTCCTTTCCTGGTGTTAGTTTTCCTCTCTATATTCTTTGGGATACTTTGGTTTCTAAAGATTTATCCCCACTTCTTTGGAGGTAGTTTTGCAAATATTCAGGTTGCATATTATGGATTTTACAGGTGAGGAATCTTAGTTACATCCCATCAGCTTCAGCATATTTATGTCTTTCACTGCCTATTTCTTTGATTCAGTAGGGGAAATATTACGGGCCTGTATGTAGACTTCTTCTAATGCTTTTTTCTCATATTCTTTATATGATCTGATAATTTTTCTTCTGGGGTTTTCCATTACCCCCCTTGCCTTTTTAACAACATCTGCTAGATTATACAGAGGGAGGAACCTTGTCTTTCTTTTTCAGGGTTCCTTCCATCTTGCTTTCACTGAGTCCTACCCGGTGGTGAGTGTTGCACGGACAGGTGTATTTTTATCAATCCAATTCTGCACTAGCAACCCATTTGACTATATTTACTTCTGGTTGCAACAGGCTCTGTAGAAATGAGAAGTACCATAAGACCATCTAGGCACATTAATGGATGGTATTACCATATTATCATGGACTGCTACTCATGGACTATCATGAGTAAAGCTAAAGGGGATTCTGCTGACCCTGTCAATCATTGGATTGAATAAATGGTGATCAGTTTGCTTTTAATAATTTAGAGAACATGGTTCACCTATTGCACTGTTCCTCAGGACTCTCCAACACGTTACCTTCCCAGATTCTACTAGTGGAGCTAGGGAGTTCTTACCACACCCAGTTTCCAGCCGCCAGGGTGATGGACAGAGGCTTTTCCTCCATTGTGTTTCAGTGTGTTCCTGCTCTCTTGGAGAAAAGGGTGAATCAGGGGACCCTCCTACCTGGTTCCCTGAATGTATTTCCCAGATGTAGGTAGTAGCGGTGCTGGCCTATGCAGAAGCCTACTTGTAATACCGGTTCAGATTTGATCCTCTGCTATCTGGTTGGGGTGTGATATGCTCTTCTTATGAACAATGTCAGGTTGTATATTGTTCATTGGTGGAGGTCCACTATCTCCTCATAATTCCGAATGTGAAGTGGTCCCATCCTAGGTCCTTGGTTGAACACAATGTTCCACATTCTCCCTATAATTCTGGGCGCATGTGGAATGCTCCTTGCCCACACGGTAGGAGATTAAGGATGAATGTTCATAATTCCAGACCAGATGAGTTCTGTTCATTTGGTTGAGTAAGGCATGCATGATTCCGTCATTCCGAGCCAGGGATGTTGCCTTTCGATCTTCTTCAGGTGGAAGAGAAGGTTTGTCCACTTCAGTGTTGCTTCCTTTTTTTTTCATAATTCCTGTGGTTTGGAACGCATCACTTTATGGCTACAGGTTGGGATCCAATACAAAAAACATCTATATATCAC